CAGTGCACTTCTCAACAGAATTCAGAATTTAAGACGGTTAACTAGGATGTCGCCTTAAATGTCAGGTTATCAGAATCGCTCACCGACATAAGTGTCAGAATGAGGCATTGACTACTCGGATTAGTTTTCATACAAATGTGTCGCCGCTGCCTGACGCCACAATCCGTCGCTAATTATTCAGGTTCTATCAACAAGGGAGCAGTGTTTAAATTGAAACTACTTCGGGGAAATCCGTTTCGAGGCTACCGGATACAAACCGACATCACTTTTGATCGGAATGGACTTGCCGATTACACACCAGGTGCTTTAGAGCCAAGCGAGAAGGCCACATATGCCCATTGCTCATCGAACGACACTTCGTTGGGCCCTTTCTGACGCGGGAAAATAACGCAAGTGGCAGGTTGGCCCAAATCAACCGAATCAGCGGCCACGTGCAACATACTTTATAAACATAAATAAACCCAAAAAAATGCAAGAATCCATGATCGCGATGGCTGGTTTATGGCATTTTTCGCTGGCCTACAGACTGTAAATTCGTCCAGTTTGCCTTTCGTGCTCGGATATAATGCATCGTGTATTTTGACAGCAGTGGTAATGCACACTTACCTTTCACAGGATTTTAAAACTCACAAAATAGCATTAACACATGTACCGAGGCTCACAGAAGTGGACCCAGAAATGGTAGGGGTGTTAATGCGACGGAATATGGAGCGCTTACAAGTTATCCTGAGGTCGACTGGATGTTGTTTCTATCAAGGTACGGTGGATAAGTGACGGGAATCAGAGGTGTCCTAAGGTACGTCTTACTATTCTAAAAGAGCAAGAGTTTCACCAAATACTGGTCCATTCACGAGATCATCGCTACAGCTGCATCCAGGTGAAAGCTTTGAAAGTCCTTGAATCTTAAGGGTTAAGTCTATACCACTTTATCCTACGACCGCTGCGGTTGCACCTTTTCTTGGCTTGACTTTTCTGCGTCCAGTAATCCGTACGATCAGAGAATCTCCGCATGGCCGAATATATAAACGGAGTGAAAACCCAGTGTGGTTGTAATAATGCCATAAATACATTGGAAAATACATTGCCAATCGTGGTTTTATAATATAAACGCGCGGTTGGGACGGATCAACAACACACAATTCTGCCTTGGTGGGGGCCCGTCGTTGGGCAGAAAATCATATCATTCTTAGTTAAGGCCTCATAATTAGCGGCATGTGAGTGTGCTGGCCTGAGAGGTCATATAAGTGGCCAAGGTTAGTGACAACAAGTGTAGTTGACATGATGAAGGGTGGTGGTTTTGTTATAGTCCGTAAATCTTGTTTCGCTCTGGGGCGAGATCAAGCTGAGTCAATTGATGTTGTCCAAAATGAAGGATCGCTCACTTGGAAAAATGGTATTTATGCATTTTCTCTAAAAAGGTCACATTATCTCCAATTAGTTGCCCCTAACTGAGAGTAAAACTCTTTAAAAAATGATGAACATTCGCATCAAATTTGGACGATGAATGAAGTCATTTTCGACCACAATATCGCATTGCAACGCGAGCCTCTCCAAAAACAGTGTTGTGTTGTAGTTCAGTACTCGCTTTATTTATCTTGCCTGACGAGTGCAACGGATTCAAACGATGTTTAAATTTGTCTCTGTAGGATATTAAACGAATATTCTGTAGATGTTAGCTCCCATTTGAGCACCGTGGACCTTCAGAATATGCAACGATTTGAATTCATGCTTTATTTCGTGGATTCGTAATAACATTTTAATCGGTGGTGGTCACTGACCAGAAAACTTTTCTTAACTAAACAAGAGCCCAACAGGAACAAATTACCTAAAAGTTCAGCCTTATTATACTAAGCTTCCGTGAAATTCTCAGCTCCAAAGCCCTATTATGTCCTCAAAATTATTTTGGTTGGAGAGAGGCGTTTAAGTCCAGTTGAGCAATACGTTAGTGGTTGAAAGTGAAGGAACTATTGGGTGGGAGGGGACACTCAGAAGCAGGAAGTGCATAGTTGCGCGTGTGTGGGCATGGAAGTGCCGTGTCAGCAATGCGGTGACACTTCGGTTTCTAGAGAGCAAGTTAACGGACCTCAATTGTACGGTGACCGTTTATGAGAAACGCATTCCAGTGGCAATCAGGCTGATTATTCAGGAGGAGTAATACAGAATAATACAGATGTAGAAACAGGTCATTTTATTAAATTGGGATCCATACGACCGTAAATCGTGGAGCAAGCAGAATCGACGACAGACATAAGGAGCGTTCGGAGAAACCACGTCGAAAATTGAAGCTTGAAAGAGGAGGACATGGAATGAGATCAGTAGAGGCTCGTGAGTGTAAGGTGTTAGATAAATATGTGTGTTACTTGATAGAGAGATATTCAAATGGTATGACAGCAAGGCTAATCAGCCTATGTAAGGACGCATTTGTGTCGGCGCTCTCAGCAGCCCACGATCAGGTAAGGTTGCCGAAGTACTAAGTGGACAGAACATGTCACTTTAAGTGCGCTTTTGCTTGATGGATATGCAGCGGACTCGGAGAGCGATGTAAGATTCCAGCATTGGTAGAAACAGTGGTGCTTCTCGATTTGCACTAACTCAGTCGGGGCTCAGTATGGGAGCTAGCGTTTTACTAGCTTGTAGGAATAATTATAGAACGATTAGGCATGGTCCGGTGGCAGTTGTTGGCTCACAAGGTTCCATCAGAGGAAAGCCGCAGTGCAAACACGGGAGTAATGTGAGATGAGATAGCGGTCACATAAGGAAATGTTGAGTGAGAAATTCCGATACGTTGAATAAGGATGGAAGTTTAACTGATGCTAACACATGGACTGATGAGTAAAGTAAGGGTATGGGTCACCAACCACTGATTCACTGCTTCGGTTCCAAACGACGAGTGGTGCAAGGCAAGAAATGGCCGATAGGTGCCAGCTGTGAACGCTACTGTTCAGAGAATAATGAGTGCGTTAGTTTACAGATATGTGCCACCCCACGGAATAAAAGGACAAGCGTGTTCTATGTCAGGATGATGAAGGGCACTTGGGGCGGTGCAACCACAGTTAAGACAGTGGTAACAACTTTGCACGCCAATGCTAGCCGCGTACTTCGCAAAGTAAGTTCAGCCTGTCCCTTGCGTTTAAAAAAGCATACGGAAGGAAAATTTCCCTTCGTCTGTATTCTGTAGTATTTCCAGCCCAATGACATCTGAGACGGTTCCACACCACTTGTTAAGGCCAGACAACAATGGTGCTGTTTAATGGACTACCTTGATTAAAAGCCTGGCCTCCGAACCACCCGAAAGGGACAAAACAACAGTACCGCTGATGGGGCCTCTGTTACACTAACGCACCATGACGCAACAGAACACGTGCATCCAAACAAGCATTTCGTCCATTGTGCGTCTACGGAACAGCTGCGCGCTGTGCGTGATCAGAGAATGTGGAATGCCTTTAAAATGTTAGCACCTGTGGTTTGTTTTTGGGTTATATGTGTCAGATCTTCGCAGAGCATAGTACTAGGCATCAAATAGATCTGAAGAAGTAACCAAGTTATGGATGCCGGCCTGTGGGGATGACGCACGGGTCGCTTGTGCAAGAAGCTCAGGCGCGAAGATAAGGGAGAGTAATGGGGTCAATGGAGGTGAGAATAAAAAGCATTAAGTTGCAGTCACTAGAGGTTCTTGGTGACTGATCTGTACCTCAGGGCACAGGTGCAGATGCAGTCCCAGGAGGTGAAACTTCTACAGAGGAAGCTGCTTCCTTCTGCTGCAAAGTGTTTTTACGCTTGCAGCCGTTTTTCACTTTTGAATTCGAAAGTAACAGGAGAAAGCGGGTGACTTAAGTGGGTAGTGATTAGCAGCACAGAACATAAGAGGAGATGGTACACGGAGCCGCCTCGAGGGGGTTCCACGGTTGACGCTGCCATTCAAATCTCCAGAAAGCGCCATCTAACGACCGCCGCTTATTACTGTAGGGTGAGCCGCGAAGCTGTTTATATAGCAGGGCATTTTACTGAATGAAAGCTTTTAACCGGAGAATATAGATGGGTTTGTTATAAGCAGACTCCACGCACTGTTCCTACCGTATAAGGAGCCTAGTGACGACTAGCTATGGACTGTCAGTAAACTTGAGAAAACCTTAGTTACTTGTTGACCCCCTCCACTAAAGTAAAGAGTGCCTTGTAATTCCGTTCCTTGGCTTTCCCACCTCCAGAGATGACATGTATATCCTTCTTCGAATCAGAACATTTTGTGGGGGCATAGTTTTGCCTGGTCCCTACAGCGACAATACCCATTTGGATACATTTTATACAGAAGCGTCTGCCACACTCTGTGCCTGGCCTGCTTCTCCCCCAAGTGAAAACGAACTCGAGTCGTTTTGGTGCGTGCAGAGCGTGCTCCCAATTAGAAGATAGCTTGTTATCTTCTAAAAATGCTTAAGTTCGCGCTTTTGCCACCTACGTTCCCCTTAGGTGAAGGTGACCAAACTAATTAAAAACTCCGCCCGGATAGTGAATCCATCAGGATTACTGTACCATCGATTCACAAAGATTTAGCGGGATAATTTTTAAGCACAAGTGTATGGGGAAAGAGAATTCCGGTGCCGTTTAGACAGATTATTTGGTTTACTAAAATAAAGCATGCAGCACAGCCCGGGTCAGAAAACTGGAGTAAGGTTAGACATAAAAGTATAATGAGTAGCATGAGTTAAGCTTGATTTTTCCTGGGAGTAGGGTTCACATGCACAACACTGTATGCTGTTTGTAGCAGGGCAGTCACAGCCTCACCTACAAAAGCGACTGAAGATATAGGGCTCGAAAACGGTCATCTCTAGTCATTTAGGGGAATCAGGAGTTGATAGGAAAGTCTCATGACAAAAGGGAAAGCTAAGAAAAATTTGATAACACAAATAACCCGGCTCAAAATTCGTATCACGGGCCGCCTTATTGAATTCGTGGGCCACGGCTCTTGAAATGTGACAACGGATTACCGACACTACAGCCTATAGGACAAAGTGCTGGGTGAACTTGAAGCCACTGCGCTACTTTTAAACCGTGTGCCACGGCCGAATGGCTTCGCTGTGTGGACGTTTGTGTAAGTCGTGTACACTAGTATACCGTATGTGAGCTCTAGTTTGCAGGGTGTCACTGGTTGGACATAAGGGGTCGAATTTGTTATACAGTGCTGCTCGTTCTCGGACAGCTAGTTCAGTGACCACCGCTGCAACTTCTGATTTGGAGAAATACGTAAAGAAATCGGAAGAACTAGCCTCAAAATATGAAAAGGTAGCCTTTCGTTGTTTCGTGTATGTTGTTAGCATGTTGACGAAGCGGTTACACGCTGGGCAAAGTGCGATGAAATTTATTTTGGCAAGGAGCGAGACTTCAAAAATTTTCCCACCGTGAAATACCCCCTCAAACATCCTAAAGTCCGTTTGGGCTTTATACCTGATGCTTGGTTCCAAACATTGTATCCTATTACTGGTGTAACAGGTAATTCTGTCGTTATTTATAACCCCTGCAGGGCCATACCTCTTTCTTTTCGGTTCCACGGCCTTTCTCATTAGCAAGGAAATTCTAGTGGTTGATCCCCATTTTATAGAAATGGGCGTGTTCATCGTCCTAATGACTGGCCTGATAAAAAAGTTTGGTCCTTTGGTTGCTGAATTTTTGGACAAACATACGGAGGTACGATCGTTTCCTGCTCCATGTTTTCGCGTTACAGAAAGTAGAGCAAATCCGGTACTACGAACCCCTGAATGCATTGCACCGGAATTTGGATAAAACAATCGCTACTGCTAATGAAGAGATAGCCAGGGCTTCCGCGGTGGAATCGCTGGTCAAAGCAAAAGAGGAAAATGTTGCTCTCCAGTTGGAGGCTGCCTATCGGGAACGATTACAACAGGTTTATCGTGCGGTACACCGGCGCTTGGTAGGTTACTTTGCGATGTCTACTAAATTCGTGCTCGTTTCTGTCATCGTTTTTAGCCACGCCAGGGTGGGGCGCGTGTTTCACTGCCGTACAATTAAAACAACAATGCGGTCGGTAGGGTAAACTTGGGCAACCACACTCCAACCCTGAGATGGCTGCACGTTCACATGTCACGTTCACAGTCAATCTGTAAACAATCGGCAGCATGAATGTCATTGACGTCATTTAGTTGACATATCGTTCCATGTCTTCAACCAAGCACAGGGACAGTCAGGTTGACCTAACCCTGCAGAGCGAACGACACCCACGGCAACCAAATTCCCCTAATCATCTCTTTCTGTCATGTCAGCTTATGACCACCCCCAGTTTCTCGCCACTCCGAATTAGGCATGCAAAACGGCAGATATTAACTCGGCATGCGTATCACGTGGATGCATTCTTTGAGTGAAGTGCCCTCTACTTCATCAAAAACCTGATAACCTTTTTCCAAATTCGTTGGTTCAAACTGATTCCAGCTGTAGTTCGAAAACATCGGTGGCAAAGACCTGAAGACATGATATTCTGCACCCGAAGTGACCAAGTCTCGCAGCCGTATGACACTAAATCATCATCTTAATCGTCGTTCAACTGTAACACCTGTGCCAAGCTGCAATTTCCGCCATGGGAAGCTCGGGGGCTGGGATATTGTCGGGTCTCTCAAGTCTAAACGGGAGCAGTCGATATGCCGGAGTCGGTTTCGAACCACGGACCTTTCGGGCACCTTGCTTGCACCTATCTCGAGCCCGTTGGATTAACTGACTCCGTCTGATTTCCCGTTTTAAGATAGGCCTAGTGTTGTCACACCCCTGGCCAGATTTTAGCATAGCCTGATTCACGAATTCAACAAATGTTCGGCGAATCTCACTAACGCTGCGTCTGCAGGTTTTTGCGGGATTGCTTGTTGTTTTCTGAATTCGGAATAACTTTTGAAACACTCCGTCTTGTCTCTTAGTCGCCGAGCACTCTCCGTACACTCGTTTGAAAGTTGCCGGGTGCAAAGAATTCGATCCTGGTGCTGTTTTTATGTTTTCAGCACTCAATTCACGTTGGATTCTTGTTACAAGTGATGGGTTAGTGCCAACATTTTGCTCTATTTGTGGACCTGTTCCAGAGTTTTCACAGGAAGTCCACGTGAACTCCTTTTCGAGGTGTTCACTTAGTCGTTCAAGGCGACTTTCAGAAAAAAATGCTGAGCCTTCCTTTTTATGAACTGTCGCTGACGTCAACTTGCGGCCGATCGGTCTAACCGACTGAACTGGGGCATGACTGCTTCCTGTTACAAAAGCCTTCATCTCGTCGTCTGTCTAATTCTTAAGTATCCGGCGTTTGATGAACTGTGGTAAGCAGTACAATGAGTTTTGGGGACTGAAATTTAATCCTTCAAGTGAAGTCAGTTTTCTCTCAAAAAGAACTGTTTTATCTTTGTTGGGAAATCAACAGTATCCATTTCACGAAGTTTTAGTTAATTTGGAACCCGTAAACCCCTGGCCAGTAGCAACAACACTTGATCGTTCGGCTACAACCGGCTGATCAGCAGTGTGATTAACTGGTACTCGTAGGGATTTGTTTGTTTCTCGGTAGGTGGTTTCCGATTTAGTTTTTTCGCCACTGGTTTCGATCGTGACGATGTCCAGTGTTCATTTGGTAGAGTCTTAAAAGCAGTTAGGATTCCTGATGCCTTTCTAACAAACTCACCTGTCAGTGTCGAGCTGTAGAACTGAGAGACTGGCAGATCCGGACGTTAGATGAATCTACCAGAATCATCATCTAGAGTCTTCCAAATGCTCCACCATCAGATGTGGACTGGGACTAGATTGGGACTAGATTGCCACCTCTTTGCATAGTGCTTGGAATTTTGCCTGTGGCACGACCCAACCAGACGCACCCAAGCACTGGATATAAAACCGAACGGTGGCACTGTTTAAATCTCGGAGAAATATCCCAGCCGGTCCTGTACATAACTTGATGCGATGAATTACTAGACGTCAAGTGAAAGCGAGCGTGCAAGCCGACCATGAAGTGTGGTGGGCACAGAAAGTCAAGGAAATGGAAGAAGCTCGGAAAGCCGGTAATGCCCAAAGATTATTTCAGTTTATCCATGCGACCGGTCCGCGGAAACCACCTGTGAGTGAAACCATCAAGCATCAAAATGGAACGACCGTCTCGAATAAGGAAGAACGCCTCGACCGGTGGACTGAATACTTCGAACAACAACTGTCGTGGCCACCAGCTGGCACTCATCTAGGGCGCACAGGTGAAGTAGAACCCTGGACAGTGAACGTGAAACCACCTAGGGCCTCGGAGGTTTACGACTGCATATGTTCTCTCAAGCGCCACCGGGCTCCTGATTCGGATGGCCTCCCATCCACACTCTTCAAAGACGGCGGTGAAGTCCTCAGTCAGCGCTTGTCCGATCTGTTTGCTTGCATTTGGGAAAAGGAGTCTGTCCCAGACAACTGGGGAGAATTGATGATAGTGTACGTTTTCAGAACAGGGGGGCGTAGTGAGTGTGATCAACTTGACCCCGGTCGTAACGAGGCTGTTGTTATCAATCGTGCTTCGTCACCTTACGGTGGCTCGTGAGATACCGAGTCGAGAGCAGCAATTGGAATTCCGGTCTAGTAGGGGTCGCGTTGACCAAATCTTCACGCTTCATCAGGTGCGATCCACAATTCTAGTATCCCTGGATTTTTGAGGCGCATTCGACTCGGTTGATCGGTCTGTTGTTGACACGCTTGCTCACCAAGGAATGCCCCGGAAGTTTGTAGACATAATACGTTCTGTGTATTCTCAGACCTCCAGATGTGTGAGAGTGTACGGAGAGCTCTCCAAAAGCTTCCGTACACAAAGTGGTGTGCGTCAGGGATACCCACTCTCTCCATTCCATTTTAACTTCGTGCTCGATGAAATAATGAGCCGAACGCCGGAGAGTGTTCGACTGGTGTTCAAATAGCCTGTGAAGAAAACCTTGTCGATCTGGAATATGCAGACGACATCGTTCTCATCTTCGAAGAGGGGGAGAAGGCGCAGGTGTTTTTGGATGAACTGACCAAAATCATCCTGTCCTTTGGTATGCACTTTGCATCCACGAGTGTCAGGTCATGCTCGTGGACGTGCAGTCACTGAACACACTACTTACAATCCAGGGAGAGGTACTGGAAGTTGTGGGGCGTTTTACGTATCTTGGAAGTTGTATTAGTTCTGATTGTGGTGTGGCAAATGAGATGAATGCACAAATCTGCACGGCTTGGGTCGCGTTTGCTAATTTGAGACACCTATGGCGTCAGAGTGGTTTATCCCTGAATCACAAGGGACGTGTGTATCAAGCTACAGTACGGGCTATTTTGTTGTATGGCTGTGAGACTGGGCCACTTCGAGTAGCCGAACTGGGGCGTCTTCAGGTGTTCGACAATCGTCATCTCAGAACCATATATCGTGTGGGTTGGTGTTGGCGCGTTGTTAATGAGGCAGTTAGGAAGCGCATTTTCGGTTGTGTTGCGGGTACTTCCATTGGAGAATGTGTCCAGCATCAGAAACTGCGTTGGTTGGGACATATGTTGCGTATGCCGAACTACTGTTTGCCGAAGAGTGCTGTTTTCCATGCTCAATTCAGAGTGGTGTAAACAGAGTGGTGGCCAACCCTTAACTTGGCAGAGGAGTATGAAGGAGATCACGAAACGCTTGGGTGCTGTCAGTGCTACTCGCCTTCCAGGATGGAGACCGCGTGATCCTCAGTGTGCCTGGTTGGAGACACTACAAGATATGGCTGCCAATCGATGTCAGTGGCATTCTTGTTGTCAGTTTCTATCCAGATTGCCGACTGAATGTCTGGAGGTGTAGGCACTTCGGAATGATTGTGGTAAGCTAGCACTAAGTCCCCTCCTCGTCCACCTTTATTCTTTTCTCTACAGTAAGGCTTTCAAATAAATCATGATTGTACGGCAGTGAAGCATTAGTCCTGAGGCAGTAACTGCTTGTGTGGCCCAAAGTTGAGGGCCCCGGGGCCCCTGTTTCTGTTTCGACCCACGGATGCATTCGAAGTTCAATCTAGATCTACATAAGAGTCCATGGTGCTCAGGTTATTGGTGTGTGGTTTTTGGGGCCGTCCTATTAGCTCGAGATGGCTCATTGGTTAGAGTGCGAATTTACTAACCGGAACGTCCATGGTTCGAGCCCGACCTCTGCCTCTCGACTTCCCCTGTCTAGGCTTGGACAACCTGGTAGTATCCCAGACCTCGTGCTTCCTTCTGGTGGTATGGCAGTTAGGCACCGGAAGGGTGCTACAGCTGATCGACTTGATTTCATTTCTACTTTTTTGTCTTTCATCGCGGGAGCTCATCGTCGATGCTGGACGCCCGGGAGAAGCAGCTTACAGGCTCCACATCTGTTTCTGAGGGTGTTTTCTTCGGATTGCCTCCTAACGCAGTGCGAAGATGCTGCTTTTTGTTTGGCCTTTCTGGCATTGGTGCACTTCGAAGAGTAAAGTTCAGGTCATTGTGACCCTCAAGCTCGACACCTGAAACTTTCGGCGCTTCTTGCTAAGATGCGAATGTTGTTGGATTTCCCTTTCGTGTCTTTTTTTCCTTACGTTTTCTGTATTAAATTCCCATGAAAACTTGAACATGCGCCTGTGGTCTACTGAATTGGAAGTCGTTGATAGTGTACATAAACGTTTTTTGATCACATTGTCCTTGAGTGCTTTTGTGACAGGATGGTGAAAGTACGCTTACTTTATGATGAATGATACGGGACTTTTCGGATATTGTCTGGTTTGACTATTTTGATATGGCGCTACACGACCTCACCACTTCCATTTTACTGTGGAGTCCGATTTACTGAGTTGAGTAATCAATAACATCATATTTTTCTAATATTCCTAATATTACAGCGACAGCCACGTTAGAGTAGCATTTTTCTGGTGGTTCTATTGTTGGTCTTTCTGTAAACTGTTCAGTCTGGTCAGATCAACTTTGTTTTTGAATTTTTTGTGGTGTGCATCCAAATTCAAAATTAGATGTATTTACAGTGACTTGAACACATACGCGCGTTGCATTCCTGGCCTCATCTGATATAATTCTCTTCTTTAGGACTATCATGTCGAACGGGAAAATACTCGCCGGCGTTTCCAACAGACACACCTGATCAACTGGGTCGTGGATCAAGTGGTCAAAGGAATAACCCCCGCTCAAGAGAAGGAAACCCTTACTTACTGCATTGGAGAGTTGAAGCGATTGGCACAAGTCCACAAAACTGCTGCCGTCGCTTAACTTGTGTTGTAATGTTACTAACGATTCCTCGCTAGCTTCGTGAACCAATATATTAATAGACAGCATTCATTTAGCCTGTTTTGATTGTGTTGCGTTTTTGCTCTTCGGTCTTCGGATGTTCAGTACCAAGTCTTCTCTAAGTACCGCGAACATCTAGAATGGTCGGTCATAAATTATCGGAGCTCTCGAGGAAAACATCCTATATTCTTGTGAAGCTGTTCCGCCGTACAACGTAGTTTCCGTGGCCCACATATGGCTATATGGCTCAGTGTTTGGAGCGCGAATTTACTGACCGGAATGTCCATAGTGCAACCCCGACATCTGCCTCTCAATTTCCCCTGTCTAGGCTTGGACAACCTGTGCTTCCTTCGGTTGGCATGGCAGCTATGCACCAAAAAAGTTACATCTGAACGATTATCTCTTAGTAATCAAAATTAAATTCTCGGTCATGAGATGTAAAAACTGCGTGCTTGCCGTAGAATGGTTATGGCTGTCACGGTTTCGTTCGCCGATGATCGGGGAGGTGGGGTAGGTAGCTGCGCATAAGAGGCGGTGGCTGATATAACTGGTGCGTAAATACAGGATCATCACTGGACTTTTAATTGAGAAGATTGGGAGGGAGGTTGTGCGTTGAAGACAACAGCTCGGGCGCGTGAGTGCCATTTAGGATGTGACTGGGCCATGTCTAACAATGTTTGTAACCCTTGACGTTTTAGGTTCCCCATCCAGGGAGACGACAGTGATTAGCGCGGCTGGGTTTGCTGGTTTCATACTCAATTGCCAAATCATTGATCTTTCATGACCCCTTTCCATCCTTAACGTGGTAGTGCGAAACGTGCTGTTCGAGGTAGTCGGTCGACTGGCATACGAAACCAACGCAACCTATGGCGTGTGATCAATTCATCTATCGTGGGTGAGTTATTTTTCCCGAAAACCATTACTGATCCGGACTTCCTACAAGATTTGGGTAATGCTCTGAAGGCGTCGGTGATATACTCCCGTATAATGACATGGAGAGCACCGCAGCACTGTAGACTCGACCCTTGATAGACAAGTTGACAAGCAGGTTCACAAAAGCCTCTAGCCTTCGCAATCCAAATGGAAGTATCGTCTTTCGCGAGACCACCGGGACCAATACAGTTGCCCATATCAGCCTATGCCTTCTTCAGTCGGCCCATCCTGAGGCATTAAGTTAGGGTTCGAGCCCACCCAGTCTTGCAGCAGAACTTTACACTTTGAAAGTGTGAAGCGCATTACAAACCATAAGGCAGAATCATCTAGCTTATTTAATATTGCTTGCATTACGGTGGCGTCATCCAAAAAGATTCATGTCATGTACGTACTCGATATCTGTGAACATATACCCTGGGGGCACGATCCCACAGGAATCAGGGGCTGGTAGTGAGCTTTATGGAATCAATGACGAAGTTGAAGAGGAATGGTGAAAGAGGACAGGATAGCCTGACATTAATTGATGTTGGAATAACCCGACGTGCCCTATTCTACAGCGGTTTTCTGTTCGCTACGTAGCGCATTGTTTTTTATGTTGGAAGGCACACGAGGGGAGAAATGCGGTACATCTGAGTTCGTCATTGGCATTTTTAGGATGCATAACGATGCTTTGGTCTTTGGAAGACAGCATACATCAATTTTGAGGTCTCAGCAATCATCACCTGTTTTCGAATTTGACATAACATACGAACGTTAAAACCTATATAAAAATCACCTCATGGATTTAGCAAGGTATTTCGTTATTAAACAGCCAGGTGCGAAAGTCACATCGATCAGGTAACTGACAGTCAAATGGCTCAGCAACGTTTACTTGTGCAATGAGAAGGGGTTGAGGATGGACATCAGTGGACAAAGATTTGTGCGGGTAAATGATACTTCCCAGTTGCCCTGCCTGAGGAATTGGGTTTGGTTAAGGTACTCCACCTTGGGCCTTTGGCTCAAAAGTCTGAGCCACAAGGCAATGGGAGGATGAAGGGCTTTGTTCGTGAACCCTACCCCTAGTCTCTGACTCAAACGTCTGAACTGTGAGGCAGCGGCCAGTATGGTTTGCTTGGAGACTGCCCGGACCCTATGATTCAGTGGTCCGACCTGCTCGGCTGCAGGGATTTGGCCTAACCGGAGGGCGAAGGGAATAAGACAGTAATGTCTCGCTCCTGGTGCGGCAGCGCACACCAGGTGCCTTTCGGGCAGCAACAAACTCTCGTTTTAAAAGTATTTCGACCATATTGAATAATTTGCCGGCAGTCATGGTCAACCGTCGGGCGATGGATTTTGCAGTTTTTGGGGCCGATCTTTCCCAGCTTTTGGAGGAAGGGAGTATCGCTGCTATGATGACCATGGGCGTACTGGTCACCTGGGGAAAAACACATTACTGCCTTCACGTGCCTGTCGCAGTGGATAGTATGACTTTATCCCCAGACCGTCCTCGTAGTACGATTAATCGTAGTACGAGGTTTCGCTGTCTTCAGTTTGGCAGCTCCCAATTGACCTTCCTGACACGGTTGCACTTTGTGGAACAAAGATCCAGCCAGTGTGGGCAGCTGGATCATTGTGGCACCCAAGCCCAACCACCGCGTCAAGATGGCATGTTTAAGTCGGGGACAATGAATCTCGCCAAGCTCTATGAACGGCTCAACGGTTACCTGATTACACGCAATTTTTGACGTTATCACGCTGTAGTTGAATGGAAAGCTCCTCGTCCAAAGAAAGAGTTTGTGATGGTAACCGTTGTGTATCTCCTAAAACCTAGTGAATTTATCTTTGTTGCAGGACAAGTTCTCTGTTGCTTGGTATCAGTGAAGCTTGCAAAATAACCCCACAAATCTAGTATTAACCAGGTGGCATTCTATTAGCTATTCTGGGATGTGTCTTATGTGCTTTCAAACTTACCCAGAAGGGTACTTTACACTTCCTGACTAACTTCCATGGTGACCCTTTTGCTGGCGCGTTCAGTTTAGATAATTAGTTCAATACCCCATTATTGTAAGAATGGTTTCCCTTTTCAGTCAGTATATAGCTGTCACAGTTGCAAACTTACTTTGACCCAACCCGTGTGTATTGCCTCTATAATAATTTAGATGAGAAGCTGACGCCACTTTTGGCTACTCTGAATCTTGATGTGATTTCATACAATCCAACATTCTATCTTGCTTGAAGTCGCTTGTTATGTAGCTCCCGATTTGAGATTATCTAAATATTGCGTCGACAGTTCCAAGACCTTTCCAATCGTCGCATCCCCTGCTCACCATGCGTGGCACTTTTTCACATTGTATGTACTACGTAGACATTTCACACGGCGATCTTGAACAGTGTTTCATCCTAAGAAGGTGTCACTCTTTCTTGAAAAATACAGTTGACTTCTTATCCGTGTTAACGTCAATTTCGTTTGAACAGTTTTCTTCCTGTCCTTATAAATCCGACAGGGACGGGGATTATAGGACCTAGATTTTCCCCACCTGGGGGCAGCTGGGTTTCGAACCTTGACATACAAGGCCAGATGACACAGTAGTTGGAGTGCGAATTAACTGACCAGGGGGTTCGAAACCGACCTCCCCTGTTTAGTTTGGGCAACCTGACAGTATCCCAGCCCTCGACATGGCAGTTAGGCACAAAATTGTGCTTTGGGCAACCTGACAGTATCCCAGCCCTCGACATGGCAGTTAGGCACCAAAATTGTGCTACGGCTGAACGACGTGCAAGGTAATTGTGCTACTACGCAGCCCGAACACATAGGGTACAAGTGAATCTACCCTTCCTAAATGATCGGTATCTCTGTCGAGTTTCCAAAGGCTTAGACACTTCAGTTCCTTTCATGCGTCTCCCTGATGGGATATCGACCTCAAACTAACCCCCTACCTCTGAAGACGTCTGTATTTTCTAGCACAGCAATCGATGACTAAGGGCGTGAATAGTTTTGACGGATGAATATTAGCTTATGGATATCACTAAACACCGCCACATACTATGTGCACAGCAAATAGGTGAATTTTTCATAATTCAGTCTTTGTTGCTGCCGCGAAAGTCGCGAAGAGCGGCTTTACGTTTCTCTGTTTCTTATGGATATGTGGTCAGCCATTTTTGACTCATTTTGTTTCTGGTGAGACAAGATGCGATCAAAAAACCATTTCGGCATATATAATCAGGCTTCTTAATCAAATCTGCCAAACGAGCTAACATTGACAACGGGAATTCGATTGTGAACAAAAACACTTATCGATGACCGAGTGAACTCTGATCACCGCCGCATTCCAATAACTTTGGGCGTGCTTTGGCCATACCGGTAGGTTTGCATGCAATGGCGGACTACGATTCATTGGTGCACCGCAGTAAGGAAGATATATGAATGTGTTCTTAAACAATAGACCATCGATTACTGGGGGAACCGCGCAGAAACGACAGTTTGATTATTGACAAACGGAACAATTTCCTTCGTTAGTCGCAGTCATACAGAAGGGAACACTCATCCTCATAGCCCTTGACCACACACTGAATCTGTTTTCACTTCATGGTGCCCTCCAACACATGCGGTGTTATCGTTCAGGTGGGTGATGTGGACCATTTTTGGAACATCTGTCGTTGATCAGTTTAAATTTACACGTGGACATAGTAGAGCCTTAAGATGAAGTACCGAGAACACCCCTCCAGCCAAATCTCATTGGAACTGCTCCTCTTTATTTAAAAAAATAAGGGCGCGACTCAGTTCTGAGTGAAACACACCGTCTGTCTGCCTGCCTGTTTGTCCGTCCGTCCGTCCGTCTGTCTGCCTGTTTGTCTGGCTGTCTGTCTCTCTGTCTGTCCTTCGCCGTAGTCACTCCTTAACATGATGTCTGATTTATTTGTGCTCTTTGCCTGATGAAACCCATCATAAGTCTTGGAGAAGTGGACGAGTCTTGAACGTATTACGGTGACCCCATGAGAACTGGTTGTATGGTTTTGCTGTACGACTCACTTTCTAATCAGACGTTCTATCGTTGTAGGGCGTACTTTAATGAGTTTTGCTCACTGTACATTAATCGGGTAGTAATGAGGTACATCAAGTACATTGGTGGAACAGAAACTAAAACACACAAGGAT